CTGGCTCTAACTTGCCTTCACTCAGAGTCAAAATTCTTCTCTTGGGTAGCTGGGAGGTTGTTTCAAGGATGGATGGTAGAAATGTGACTTGTTCATTGTTGGTTTTCACTTGAACTTTGCTTTTATCTGTAGGTTCTTCCAAAGCAGTATCTTCTTCTACCTTGACCTCTTTCCTCTTTATGGATTCCTTTAATTGCTCGTGTTTCATCTTCTCACTGAAGTACTTTTTTCTCACCTGAAATGCTTTTTCGGTGACTTGTTTTATGTGATGTTGATCCCTCTTCCTGTTTTCCATTAGCATCCTTATCTCTGTATTTAAGCATTTGTTTTCTTCCTTCAGCTTTCTCCAATCAGACAGTGTGGGTTCAAAACCTTTCTTCACAACCACAGGCTCTTTCTGTTGTTGTGAGGCTAAGAGCTTAACGCTCTCACCCTGCTGCTCCAAGAGTTTGTTCACCTCACAGTCTTTTTTCATCAGACTTTTTACTAATGTCCTGTTTCTCAGTTTTTTCTCAAGTAACACGCCTGATGTTAAACTGAGTCTTGCTTCAAACTCTTCTTTCGTTTTATCTATGGATTCCTCCATTGGTGTTTTTGAAAGATTCTTCTTCAGAATTTTATCTTCCTTCTCTGCCTATGTCAATTGTTTGTCCAGAACTATTATCCTGCCCTCAAGAAGTTTGGTCTTTTCTTTTTGTCTCAAAATCTCATTGTTCTTCATGCCGATGTTGTTGATTTTTCGAGGCATCTCAAACTCAAGACTCCTCACTTCATTTTTTTTCTCTTTTTTTATACTTTATTTTTATTCGTTTTTAAACAACACATACATTCGGAACATGAGGGCTAGGGCAGGTAGCAGACAGTCATACTGGTGACCATTACAATGCAGACATTTCACTGTATGAAGTTACCCAAAATAAATACAGAAGGAAGCTCCCAGGTGTCTGTCCGAGTGATGTAGAATCACAAACATCAACTGTTACACACTTTTGGTTATAAAATAATCCCATTTTTCCCAAAGTCTCTCTCCTTTCTCCTTCTGGAGACATATTGTAAATGTCAACATTTCCATATTGTATATCAAGTTTATGATATTCACAAGAAGCTTCAGGGTAGGGGGGGATTAGATGTCAACAATAGGAGCTTACTTCGCAATAAACTTCTTCCAATGAGCCATAGCCTTTTATATGTGGAAGTCTTTTCGCAGTTACGGACGGCGTTCTCAAGATATACGTCAGTAGCACAGAGAGGAGTGGCCACACGCATGCTGAAAGGTGTAGTAGCTGTGATGTACATCACACTATCAGTCCTCCTTTCAGAAGATCAGGGCAGGCATGGTTCCAATGGCCAGTAGAAAGTTGGTTTCACATCACCACAGAGCTGAAAAGTGGTCTTGTTTGATTGAAGTTGTTGGGTCATCTGCTAATTGGAGCACAGACAGAAAAACAATCACAAAACAAACCACATTTTAGGGACTAATCAGTGTAATGATTAATAAGTATAAATTTCTTACCTCAAGAATGTGAAGGACAGCATCACTTGCAATTCCCAAAGTTTCTTGTAGATGGTGCAATACGTGATTGGAGACGTGTCTGGCATAGGCTTCACCATGGCAACAGTTTGGTTTACTTGAAAAATAAAACAAGTCTTATTTTAGTTCATGTGCTCAATTACAATATTATTTTAATTTAACATTGCAAGACAGTCATTTTAATGAAATCAAACTAGGACTACTTAAATTCACCAATCAAAAATAGTGTTTAAAATATCCTGGTAACAGTGTGGAATATCTAACCTAGGCTTTTAGACTCATTGCATTTAAGTTTTTAAATTACAGCACATCAAACACCCTAAAAGTTAGTGAAATATTAGGCGTAATTGCCCTTTAACCATTTCCCGAATCAGAAGCTACGAATGAGAAACCACCTTAGCTATGTTAAAAAACGGAAACTACCAAAAACTCGTGCCGATATTATTTTTAAGCCACAGCTATTGTGGTTAATGACTGTTCAAAGCTCATATTCACAAGAGCGTCTCTTTAACCCGCGGGTGAAAATTGGCATATCACGACATGCTAACTAGCTTCACAGTTAGCTTATCTTAGAAAGACAGACAACTTTAAACTTACCTCTCAGTAGCAGCTCTAGAGGGTCTATACACAGTAAAAAAAAAAAGTCCTCCATCTTCATCCATGTCCAACCGAGATTAGTAAATTTGCCAAAAGAAAATCTTATAAAAGTACAGTAGATAATAGCTTAGTTGGGCTGTTACAACTGAATTAACCGTTAATCAGGGCAGTTAAATGATCTCTGGCGTTGCCGTTAGTGATGTGCGGCTTGATACTGAAATATCGATTCTTCCGATACCAGAACTTAATTCTTTAAAATCTATTGTCATATCCAGGGATCAATATTTTCAACACTTTAGTAATTTGAGATAATGTAGATTAACAAGAGCACGTTAGAAAGTAACTAAATATTGAGATCTTGCCTAAATGAAACGTTGTTAATGGGAACTACTTTTTCTTCCGCCTGATAAGTGTGTAATGTGTAAGGACGTAATGCCCAAGCGCAGCGTGCTGCTGATGCTCACTCACTCAGAAATGAACATGTTGACAGATTATAAAAGTGACATGGAGCTATTTCAGCTGTCATTTTATAGTAGTTTTAATAATTAAACAAGAATATATTTAGTAGGGTTATTACTTTCCTAACTTTCTTAGTTTTTTAGTTTGCAACACCATTTTCACATATTTTGTATAGTAAACGAGATTGTTGTCTCAATGTAGTTCTGAGTTTAAAATGAGTGCATCAGTGTACACTGTTCTTTTTATGAAGCCAATATATGGATACAAAAAATAAATTTAATTAAGAAACAAATTAACTGTCTTTGCACAAAGTATGGGATCTGTATTGCCAATAGCATCTTAAATTTTACTCGGTATTGGATTGGAAAGAAAATCTGTTGTATCGAACATTACTACTACCTCACTGACATTTTGGGCGCTTTCCCATTTGGATTGTATGATGTCATAAAAGGGGTGACAAACATGATGAATAAAATATTGTTCAAACTAATATTTGTAACTTATAAAGTGAGAATTTGAAATATAAACCATAAATTAAAATAGTTATGACACTGAGCTAATCAATGTTGTTGATTCTAATCTCATTGTGTGGAATATGAGCCATTTCAAATCACACATCAATAGAAATTACATGACATGTCAGTAAGAGGTCCCACATCTTGCATCAAGAAGATTAAATTAAGAAGGTCCATAGCAGATGGAAACATGCCAAGAATTATCTTGATATATAAACTGATATTGTCTCTGAAATTGTTGTGTTAAATGTCAACCGTTTAAATATTAAATTATAATTTCCAGTACACTGTGCCAACTTATACAAGAGTATAAGTTCATGCTTTTTTTAATTTTTCATTGACAATAGAACAAAGGACTCCATTTGGACATAGTCTGTTTTAATTATCCAAAGACATTTCATTAAGTAAGTGATTTCTCTTTTTGTGCTTGAAATAAGAAAATTTTACTCATATAAAATAAGTTCTAGACTTGAAGTTTGATTGGTAAATATTGATATTCTAGATTCTAGCACATATTTACTCATAATAAGTAATATTTTCTTAGCTTTTATATCTTACTGAGATAATTAAGTACAAAAACACTTAAAATAAGAAAAATATTCTAACATAAACCCTTGTTGGTGAAAAAAATTATCTTGTCAGAAAGAAAACAAGAAAAATCTCCTTAATTTAAGATATTTAATCTTACTAAGATTTCAATTTTTGCAGTGAAAGAGAATAAGCATAAAAGTACATTTAGCAGAATCTTAAAAGTTCTCTTAAAGGTTTTTCAGCACAAAACACACACACACACACATATATATACATATATACATACTTAACCCTTGTGTCCAGAAATGGGGTCCGACTGACCCCACACGTAAAACTTGTATCATTTTCCACAGTCCTCTACGTTTGCCTCAGTCCTTGCATGCACAAGGGTTAAGTAAAGTACAGATACATGAAAATTGTACATAAGTACAGTAACGAAGTACTACACTTATGTACAATTCATAAAGGGACTAATTAGTAGCTTTCATTCTAGTTGTTTACCACAAAAAGTGAGACAGATGGAGCTGCATACTGAATAACCCTGGAAGAAAACAAGACTGAGGACACCTGAGGGCTGTTTGGAGATTTTTACCTCGATCCAGAAACGTACTCAACATTCACCCAGAGCTGAAAAACTGAGTGTAAAGGCTCCATTCACACTGCAGCCTGAAGTGACCCAATTTTGATTTTTTGGACGTAATATGACCTGTATCTGATCTTTTTATGACAGTCTGAACAGCACAGGTCAGATTATTTTTGAATGCAACCCATATCCGATACGTATGCGATTCAAATGCGACCTAACGTACTGGCTGCATTCATGCGAACTGAACATCACTGATACTCAAAAATCTCACTATTCTCATGCTATTTAACAAGAATTAGGAGGTGGT